CCCCCACCCTCCACACCCAGTGGAAGCTGGCGGCATCAAAACTCTACAAGAAAGCGAGAAGTGAAATCCTTCGTCGTGCTAACAATCATGGAGTCTGCTCGTAGGGAACAAATTTTTGCGACTCGGCGGAAGTGCCGAGCTCATGGATGTCAGGAAACGCCAGCTTCTTCATGCGCAGGAGGTAGTCATTGAGGACCTTGCTCTTCCTGAGGTACCTTATTGCCGGGCCATGTGGTCCCATCTCCCGCGCCACATGCATCCAGCCATACACTGTGCAGTCGTAGCTGGTGGGTTTGTCGCCTAGCAGAAACGGCTTCTCGCTAAGCAGGGTTTCAAGGCTTTGAACTTCGTGCAGAAACTCCTGCGGGTATTGCTCCTTTGAAAGTGTGTTGTAGCCCACGGCAGTTAGCGCCTTGATAACCTGTCGTCGCATGCTGTTCACGAGCCGCCGCGCCGGCCTGGGATGCACTAGGTACTCCTTCACAAACATCTGCTGCATGAGTTCGGGTCGGTCCACCAGAATGCTGCGGTGCAGGCCGTAGTTGAGTGAGGTTTCCACCATGCGCCGCGTGATGTGGCCAATGGCGTGGTCCTCAGGCGTGAGCCCGTCGTTCATGCCCACCTTGAATGTCTCATTCAGGAACTTAATGCAGAGCTCCGCGTCGCCGATGACGGTGCCGTTGTAGACGATGAACGGCAGCCGGCCCGTCGGAGAGAGGGAGGCGTCGGAGGTGAAGTGCGCGGTGTAGGGGATCTTGGCGAGGCGCAGGAACGTCTCCAGCTTCACACACTGCGGGAAGAGGTTGGGCCCGTGCGACCAGCGGTGGTGCAGAAAAAGGTGCACCATGTCCTTTTCAAGTTTGTTGAGGTTCACTAACATGCGGGCCCGCAGGCGGTGGGAAAGCATCAGCGCGGCCCCCTTAAAGGCGAGGTAGCCGCCCACAACGGTCAGCGTCGCCGCGAGGGAGCGGGGGTGCTCACTGCAGAGTCGTCCAAACGCGGTCATGGCCTGCTCACCCCTTTTTGCTCACAGACACGCACACACACAGAAAAGAAGAAGGAAAGACGCTTTAAACGGATCAAATCAACCTTGCTAATGAACTTCCCCCGCCACCACAGAGTAAAGCAAGAAGTAGAGAGAACGAGAGTGAGAACGCAAGTTTACGAGTGGGAAAAAAAAAATACAAAAACACCCCTGCGCAGGCCACCCCTCACAGACGCAGTGTGCCCGCCGCACATGAAGCTGCACCCCCCCCCCAAAAAAAAAAGTAGGCATACTACTTTACACATACGCGGATGTAGGTGTACCACGAAAGCAAACGGGGAGGCTCCGCACAAGGCCAAAACGACGCAACAGAGAAAGAGCGAACGGGAACAATTGAGGCAAAGCAGGAGGGGAACGAGGGGCGGCTTCCTTACCCAGCATCTTCACGTTCAAATAACAAGGACTCGTGCGCGGAAATCGTGGCGGCAAGCTTCTCCCAGCGCTCCAGCAGAAGCGCCTCCGCACGATCCAGCAGACGATCCACATTCCTCGCCTCAGCCGTGGCCATGGCTTCCTCCGCCAGCGGCAAAGGCGCACGAACTTTCGCGCTGCCTCCGCCTCCGCCTTCATCCGCAGAGGCTAACTTTTTCAACTCCTCGTACTTCGCCTGCTTCTTTCGCCTACGACGACGTTGCCTTTGCTCCGCGAGGCCGCCATGAACGGGTATCTGCTGCACCCTCACAATGGTGCCGGGCCCAACTGCCGCCCCACACACGTGCGGGGAAATTTCGCCCCCCGCCGCCCTGTCGCCGTTGCTACCGCCCCCACCTGCGCCCGCCGGCACGCTGATGTTGCGGTCGTCGGCGCCACTGCGCTCGACTTCGTCCCCAGCGGGGTCGGGGAGCGCCAGCTTCATGTCAAACTTCACCACTGAAACCCCCTTTGACACACCGGCCCCGATTTCCGTGAGGGTCACGCCCCCAATTGGGGCGCATGCGCGCAGGAAGGCGTCCCACAGCTCGCCATCCACGCTGCAGAGCACGCTCGAGGCGGGGTCGGCGTAGAAGGCCGCCAGTTCCGCCGCGTTCCATCGGGCGATGAGCTCCAGTGAGGCGAGGAGGACGCCCTGACTGAGTGCCAGACGAATTAGGGCTCGGGTGCGAGCGGCAGACGTACACCGCACAAAGGTTGACTTGATGACATAGATTAATTGCCCTGAGAACCTCAGCCGATGCTGTGCCGTCCCACACGCGCCGTTTGCGTCTCCATGAATGAGCCTGTTTGGAACGCGCTCGAGGGTTTCCAGCACACTCCACAACTCCCCTCCTTCGTGTAGGCCATGCGACAACACACGAATGAGCTCCGTCACGAGGAGCTCCGCCACTTCGGCCATACGGGCATCCACTGTCGCGAGGCTGTGGGGATCGCCAGGCAATGTCCGGCAGTAATTGCTCACAGTGCGAGGGTGGAAACGCAGCACCTGCCGCACTATCGCATGCAGCTCCTGCATCATGGCAGGCTTCCACGCCCGCACCACGTCAACTAGGGGGGGGGGGAGAGGAGGAGGAGGAGGAGACGGGTGATCAGAGTGACGAGGCTAGGGTGAGGGGGGGGGGCAGGACAAGACGGCAATGCACACGGACGCACACCACATCATACATGCGGACAAGAACCAGCTGTTTCTCGCACGTTCACGCTGTAGTACAGACGCACACATGCACAGGGAGAGAGATAAAGAGGAAGAAAGAGTCAAATAAGGCGAATCACAGATAAATAGACCTATAACTGTTTATATATATATATATGAGGGAAAATATGCGGCACCGTCATTCTCCACTGCATAGAACAGCTTCATGTAAATGACATGGACGATGCGTTGCAATGTTGGCCAGCGCGAAATGGCTGCCCCCATCTTCCCCATCCGCCCCCCCACCCCCACTCCAGGTACCGCTTCACACGTACACTCAGGCAAACGGACATAAACGCACGGCATCACTCCAACTACCACACTCAGCGATGGCTCACAAGTTTCTCGACGGCAATGTCGACGTATCCATTTGCATCGATTAAGGCGGAGCGGACAGTCTCCGCGTCAAACCCCATCCCGAGATCCATGATTTGGGCAATCCGCTCGTCCAAGACAGCATCCCCCAGCAGAAATGCACCGCTGTGAGGCCCAGCCTCTGGCTCGTGTCGCCGGCGCACATGTCCCCCAAGGGACGCATCCACAGACCCGTGCCGAGGATGCACGCGCGGGTATCCATCGTCGCGGAGTCCAGCAAGGTTATCCACGGTGTAGCGGCCGCCCGGCGCCGACTGGTCGCTGTTATTCTGCCGCGGAATGCCAAGCTCCACAACATTTGCTGGGCCAGTCAGGCAGGAGAGGATGGGGCGAATAAACCTGATAAACGGGCGGCAGATGTAACGGCTGGAAAACTTAAGCCACCAGGTAAGCAGCCAGGTCTCCCTGGAGGCGATGCCCCAAAGAATGCCTAAGAGAGCCAGCAGTACACGCGTCCAGGAACCGATATCCACCTGTATAGCCCCCTGCTTGTGCGTCCTCGGGAGCACCTCCGTGGCGGGGAAGAACACCAGCCGCATGAGAGGCAAAAGGACAAAGGACCACTCCGTCAGGGCAAACTGAAGGAGCGGAACGCGCCACCGGCGAAGCGAGCGCACCTCAAGGAGGTAGCGCGTGGCAAGGGCCACCAACGGGACGATCGAACCACCCGCCGACAAAATGCGCAGCTGGTCCAAATTCAAGGGCGGTGTGGCTTCCGTGACGAGCATGTTAAGCAGTGCAGAGCCTGTCATGGCAGAGGTCAAGACAAAGGCGAGAAAGAATGGGGATCCCCAACGCCGCTCCAGGATTCGCATCTGAAACAGCACCAAAAGGGTGCACATGACGTCCGTCGGAGACACGCCAATTGACCCAAACGGCAATGTTTCCAGTGGGAGATGTCTGATGGTCGTTCTCCATCCTGGCGCCACGTACGCGTGCCGCCACGCCATGTAGTGCCGAGGAGTGAGGGACATGGAGAGGGCGGAGATGCTGAGCAAAAGCCCCGTCACGGGAGCGTGATCGAGCACCATTCAAGCCGGCACAATTTGCGGATGCCAATAACTGCTAGCCAAGACCAATCTATGCTGCAAAACCGCAAATCAAGCAACAGCGAAGAGCAGCTAACATACACACAGCGACCCTACACACCCATGAATGCGGCAGAGAAAAGTAGGCACGTCGTTTCCCACGGCAAATACTATTATGCCCCTCTGGGAACGGAAATAAGACAAGTCCACGCATCAAAGGAACGGCAAATATTACTCCCACAACAATAATCAAGGAAATAAAAAACAAATAGCAATTAAAAGGGAAAAACTTCCCGGCCGGGAATTGAACCCGGGTCACCCGCGTGACAGGCGGGTATACTTACCACTATACTACCGAGAACACGCGGCCCGGCGCGGGAGACAACGCGCACTTGAAAGCGGAGGCTGCGTGACGGCACGGCGGAGAAGGAAAAAATGCTGCCGACATGTGGACGCAACGCGGTTGCGCGCAAGCCGGTGGTAGGAGGAAGAGGAGGAGGAGCAAAACTGCCCCCTGCCACCCCACTTATTACTTGGGCCCCATCTGGCCGCCGGTTGTCTGCAGAAGTCTCTACAATCCACAAAAAAAAAAGCAAGAGTGAGAGAACAACAAGAAGAATCAGTCGCGAGAGGCATATGGCATATGTGCGGCGCAGCTTCGCCGCGGCAAGCCGGCAGGCGCAGAGAGAGACCGAGTTAGAGAAAGCCGAGCCGCTGAAAAAGCAAAGAACTGGCACGATTGGCGCCTGCCTCTCTCGCTGCGCCGGCCTCACGTGTCAATTCCTACCTCTCGTCATGAATAGACGCACACGCCCACACACATTCACACGATTAATTGCTTACATTGCAAAGACGCATAAACCTTTATTCTCTTCGTATGCACACAAAAAGTGCGAGAAAAAGAAAAGAAGAGAGCAAGCGAACTCTTGCATTACTCAGAGCGAGGATCCTGCCGTCATCCTTTGTTAAGTATTAAAGACCCAACACACCCCCTCCACACAACCCCAACCTGTTTTTTTTTCCTCTTTTTTTTCCCCACCCCACTTTCCTTTTCTTTTGCTCCCCCGTTCCCTCCATACAAAAAAGCGTTTTGCTTTAAGTCAGATTGCCACCCACGCACTTACATGTGTGGGGCGGAGCTGGCTAACAGGTACCCAAAATGGCCTTCCTCCCGCGACTCCACTCTACTTTTGCCTTCTCCCTTGCATGTCTCCT